CCTGTGTGTCTCATGTCCCTCCTGTGTGTCTCATGTCCCTCCTGTGTAACCAGTGATGTGTACTCGCAGATAAAGCTCAGTGAGGTGGTGGGGACAGGAAAGGATGGACGGATACTGAAGGAGGACATCCTGAACTTCCTGGCCAAACAGACAGGAGCCATCCTCCCTCCGGCTCCTTCCTTCCAGGAAGTCCAGATTCCAGGCCCTGCCGCCGAAGCTCCTGCTGCCAAGTCCATAAGCACTCCAGGAACCTTCAGACCTACACCCAAACCTCCCAGACCTGCCTTCACTGCGACAGATGTGATTGAGCCGATCAAAGGTGAGCAGTTCAGTGGACCAGAACCTGTTGGGGAACACAAATGTCCCTGTGGACTCAGCTGATGTGTCTGTGCAGGTTTTCACAAAGCCATGGTGAAGACGATGTCGGCGGCTCTGAAGATTCCTCACTTTGGTTACTGTGACGAAGTGGATCTGAGCCGTCTGGTGGTTCTGAGGTCAGAACTCCAGTCTGTCACCGCGGGTCGTGGTGTCAAACTCAGCTACATGCCCTTCTTTATAAAGGTGAGTTCACAGGTTTGTGACGGTCAGGCACCCTGATCGGTCCAGGGATGACGTAAGGCGGTGCTGATCGATTATTATTGCTAAATATAATGCTCTTTTATTGGCCAGGCGGCGTCTCTCAGTCTCTTACACTTCCCGGTCCTGAACGCAGCTGTGGATGAAGGCTGCCAGAACATCACCTACAAGGTAAACCCTCTGGTGTGGCCTCGTTCTGGAGTGGAACAGGTCCACTGGTCCAGGTGTTGATGATGCTGTTCTCTGTTCTGCAGGCGTCCCATAACATCGGCCTGGCCATGGACACCACTCAGGGGCTGCTGGTTCCCAATGTGAAGAACGTTCAGCTGCTCACCGTGTTCGAGCTCGCTCAGGAGCTGAACCGTCTGCAGGCGCTGGGAGCTGCGGGTCAGCTGGGTACCGCCGAGCTCAGCGGGGGAACCTTTACTCTGTCCAACATCGGATCAGTGAGTTGAACAGCGCCACGGTGCTCTAATGAACAGAACGTGGTTCTAACATCGTCCTGTGTTTGTGGTCTGAATCAGATTGGAGGGACCTACGCTAAACCGGTCATTCTTCCTCCTGAGGTCGCCATCGGAGCGCTGGGAAAGATCCAGGTCAGCTCCAAACATCTGATTCACTGTCACAGAGGCTTGAGCGAGGGCCTGAACAGATAACCAGAGATGGGTAGAACAGCTGGGTCAAGGTCATGTTCGGGTCAGAATCAGGTCAACGGTCTGGATCGGTGAAGTCAGGGTTTGGGTTAGATTACCAGTCCGGTTGGATTAAGCGTCCACCAAAGCATTAACCTCAGTCTGTTGGTACTTTGTGTGGTTGGGTTATTTGAATCGGACTCACCTGTGTGTTCAGGTTCTGCCTCGATTTGGTGCCGACGGTCAGGTGGTCCGGGCTCACATCATGAAGGTCAGCTGGTCAGCAGATCATCGCGTCATCGACGGCGCCACCATGTGTCGCTTCTCCAACCTGTGGAGGGAGTACCTGGAGAACCCGGCGTGCATGGTTCTGGACCTTAAATAGACTGTTATTACCCATCAGCCCCGGGGAGGACCAGATGCTGTACCGAGACACACAAACATAGCTCCGCCCCTTGCCTCCTTCACTTCCTGTTTCTGTTTGAGGCCTGTGTGCTGAAGGATGGAGGGGCCAAATTCCCAGGGTGGAGCCAGAACCAGGCTGACCTGAACTTTGTGGGTTTTAGATTCCAAACAGAACTGAGCCGAGTTCGTCGTCGCCACCATAAACCTCCATCAGATCCTCCACCTGGAAACACCAGAACCAGTCCCTCTGGTGGTGACTGGTTCTGGAGAAAGACCAGAAGAATCACAGAAGCATCAAACAGTAGATGATCCGGTCCTGATGAAGAGCCTGCTGGTCTTCCTCCTGATGGCTGCTGGGTATAAAGCACATGGCGTCATGTTACACGGTTTGTCTGATGTTTGTTAGAGATAAATGTCCGAGTTTATTTTTCTGAGTTTCAGACGGCTGGAGAGGAAGATCTGAATAAAGCTGATGAACAAACCCGGTGTTTCCTTTGTCGTTCTCCTAACATACGTCAGCCCCCTCCTCTTTACAGGAACCGAATCCTTCAGGTTCAGTGAGCTTCAGCTCCTCCCCCCAAGAACTCGCCTTGTTAAAAGGTCAGACAGGTGAGGTGTGGGACAGGTATGTGTTGGAGAAAAATATTTACGCTTCATCTCACTCAAAAGGAGCCGCACTCGGGATCTACTGCAAGGTCCGATTTTCAGGACCGGTTCCACAGATCTACAGGAGGTCCAGTCACGAGAAGCTGCCTCCTCCACTCCTTTTCTTACTCATCAGTTCAGCCGAGCTCAGACGGGACAGGAGGCGTCCTTGGAGTGCCAGCTCCTCATCCAGCTCTGCTAGCCCAACATATGATTCATGGGCAGAGTGAGCATCGTCAGCCGCACACGTTAAAAACATCCATAAACTTTGGGCCAAAAATTCTCCAACAGTTTGGACAGAAGCTACAAATAAAAGTAACCGTGGTCAGTTTTTCCTTGGAGAGCTCCTCGTTCTATCTTCTGCCAGACCGACCCTGTAAAGAAGAAACTAATGTGCCACCTGCTAAAATAAAGGTTAAGAAAAATAAAAATGTTTTACTGAATCACTTTTAGCTTTCTACTCAGAGTCCTGGTCTGCAGATCTGTGTCCTGGTCCAGGAACCTTTTCAAAACTAGAAGTCTGAACTAAATGCTGAAGTGGTCCAGTCAGCTGACGGGACGGATTCTACTGAGTCTAGAACCCCCGTATTCCAGCTGGGCACAGAGGACATCTGGACTTGTCTTCAAGGACATGTCTCAGTCAGACACCCACAGTTGACATTGGGCTTCTTGCTGATGGTATGCTCAGTCCAGCCTCGGTCCACCTACGATCTGGTCCCATGGGTGGAGGTTGGAGTGAAAGAAACGGATTCTGTGGACAGGTGGACTACACACAGAACCAGCTGAGGGCGGTGTGGTCTGACTGTTGGCTGGTTGTCGTCTGTATGACTCATGGGGGACAGGATGCTGGCTGGTTGTTGGGAATCAAAAGTATTGATTGATTGAGAAGAGCATTGTTGGATTATTGAGCATGAACTTTGGTGAATCAACGTATATTTCACTTCATGAAATCAGTTTGTAACTTCTGTGTTGTGTTTCCTGGATTTTTGGTGAACCTTGTGTCTCAGCTGAACAAACACTTGGTCATGTGACCGTCAGCAGGATCATATGATTTGATGTCTAAAATTATCCAACAGAGCTGAGGTCGGGTTTCAGAGGAGGGGACGCAGCATGGAGGACTGCCGCAGCATGACAAGGTGAGGACAGACGCTCTGCAGAACGAGTTCAATAACAACAAACCAAGTACTAATACTACCAAATTATGGTACCTTCAGTATTTTGGGAACACAATGTGACAGTGACTGCAGAAAACGCCCCAAAGATCCAATTAGAACTTATCTGTAACGTGAAAGACCTTCAGAAAGCCTGGACAACTGTTGATCAAGGCCACTTTAAAGGAAGGTCTGGATCTTTGGAGGGAAGTAATAGAGAGATATAGACCAGATCACAAGTTCTGGACTGTGTTTACTGGTGCAACCAATTAGGAAGTTAACCTCTGTTTTGGCTCAATGATCAATAATCATCTCATCCAGGATGGTCCTCCAGACTCTGATGCTGCAGCTCAAAGGGCAGAGGTCGTCCTACCTGTTCACCTGGGCACTGTGACATCATCATGGTGGTAGTGGTGGCTTGTGGCTCAGTGAGCTCCATCAAAGCTCTGTGGGAGACCAGGATCAAGAAGAAGGAGGAGGAGCAAAGAAGAAGACCGACCAAGGGAGGAGCCACAGGAAGGTCAGACTCCGCCCATTCACATAAGGACCAGTTTAATTCTGGTGTAATAAACCAAAATCTCTATGAGCCAGGCTAACAAAGACCCTAACGACCAACAGGATGGAGAGGTGGGAGAAAGACTAATGACCTTCAGGAGGGAGACAAAGACTTTAACGACCTTCAGGAAGAAGGGACGAGAGAAAAAGACCTTAACGACTCTCAGCAGGGAAGGGCAAGAGAAAAATAACTTAAAGACCTTCAGGAGGGAGACAAAGACCCTAATGACCCTCAGGACGGAGA